TTTTAGAAATGTTGGTCAACTGAAAAGTATGAACATGAAAAGTATGAGCATGTACAGCACTCAATACTTAGTTGGGGCTCCTTTTGGCTGAATTACTGCAGCAATGCGGCGTGGCATGGAGTCCATCAGTCTGTGGCACTGCTCAGGTGTTATGAGAGCCCAGGTTGCTGATAGTGGCCTTCAGCTCTTCTGCATTGTTGGGTCATATCGCATCTTCCTCTTCACAATACCCCATAGATTTTCTATAGGGTTAAGGTCAGGCGAGTTTGCTGGCCAATTAAGAACAGGGATACCATGGTCCTTAAACCAGGTACTGGTGGCTTTGGCACTGTGTGCAGGTGCCAAGTCCTGTTGGAAAATGAAATCTGCATCTCCATAAAGTTGGTCAGCAGCAGGAAGTGTGAAGTGCTCTAAAACTTCCTGGTGGACGGCTGCTCTGACCTTGGACCTCAGAAAACACAGTGGACCAACACCAGCAGATGACATGGCACCCCAAACCATCACTGACTGTGGAAACTTTACACTGGACTTCAAGCAACGTGGATTCTGTGCCTCTCTCTTCCTCCAGACTCTGGGACCTTGATTTCCAAAGGAAATGCAAAATTTACTTTCATCAGAGAACATAACTTTGGACCACTCAGCAGCAGTCCAGTCCTTTTTTGTCTTTAGCCCAGGCGAGACGCTTCTGACGCTGTGTCTTGTTCAAGAGTGGCTTGACACAAGGAATGCCACAGCTGAAACCCATGTCTTGCATACGTCTGTGCGTGGTGGTTCTTGAAGCACTGACTCCAGCTGCAGTCCACTCTTTGTGAATATCCCCCACATTTTTGAATGGGTTTTGTTTCACAATCCTCTCCAGGGTACAGTTATCCCTATTGCTTGTACACTTTTTTCTACCACATCTTTTCCTTCCCTTCGCCTCTCTATTAATGTGCTTGGACACAGAGCTTTGTGACCAGCCAGCCTCTTTAGCAATGACATTTTGTGTCTTGCCCTCCTTGTGCAAGGTGTCAATGGTCGTCTTTTGGACAGCTGTCAAGTCAGCAGTCTTCCCCATGATTGTGTAGCCTACAGAACTAGACTTCAATTGAACAACTCTTCAATATTGAACCTTTTCACAATATTCAAATTTTCTGAGATGCTGATTTTGGGGTTTTCATTAGTTGTCAGTTATAATCATCAAAATTAAAAGGAATGAACACTTGAAATGTATCAGTCTGTGTGAAATGAATGTATACATTATACAAGTTCCACTTTTTTAATGGAATTACTGAAATAAATCAACTTTTTGATGATCTTCTAATTATATGACCAGCACCTGTATATTGCGAAATGCAGTCCAATAGGATACTTGCTGAGCACATGAGGAATCCTTTTCAGTGTGATGATTCAGGACAAATTGTGCTATCTGCATTTTTTTTATTTCATCACAGTATGATATATTTTAGGCTGATGAATGATGGACTGTAATTTGCCCTGGACAGGTTCCTTCTGGGTACTCCAAACTCCAAGCTAAGAAACTTGGTGTGACTTGCTGTCAAGGCATCTGGGCTTTGTAATGCTTTGACTGTGGAGCTTAGGTTCACAAAGTTGCTGAAATCTTTTCATTCATTTTGTAGGCCTTTTCTGACAACCACGGATGCAGTTTCCGTCTCTATATTTAATTAATTTTATTATAGTTTAATAGTATAGTGTTTCAGTTCATGTCATATTTATGAGAATATAAATATAATATATTTTGTTTCACTTCAAATATGTAATGAAATGTTTTTGTTTGTTTGTAACTTCAGTAGATATAGGCAAACCCTGTGTGAAGCCACTTGTATGGCCAGAAGGTATCCAGAAATTAACTTTTTATATTGAATGTACTAATTAAATGGTGGGCATTTTTTAAGGGGAAATATGAGTGCCATTAGAATTTAATCAAAGGATGAGATGGATGGGATGCCTTATTCCTCCTTTGAGATTGCCTTTTGAGAGAGATTCTAGAGGAATAGAGAGAGATGTGTGAAGGAGTGGACCTCAGTCAGCTAAAGGCAGAACATGACTAGCATTTCTGCTCATGCCCATACAAGGTATCGGTCTGACTGTTGCGCAGCAGGGGTGTGATGAATGTATCAAGAGTGCACCCTCTGGAGCTTCATCACAAAGCCATGTTAAGCTTACAACAGCTGATAACGCTCTTTGTCCGTGTGTGGTCAGACAATAGTTTACCTCGGCCTCTGTGCTTTCTGTATAATCTGCAGAGATGTCAGCCAAGCTTGCCTAGAATTCCTCTGTGTAGAGATGTGATGAAAGACTGCGTAATTCAACATCGAGGACAGAATTCCTCAGCTGTATGCTGCTCCCCTCATGTCCGTGCCCAGGAGCAGGTGGAACATGTTAATCAGACATGTTCAAAGGAATAAAGAGGGACATTATACCCAACCCTCTCCAGACATTAGATCTGCAGCTGTGTTTGCAGATGGTCTTTTATGCGCCTTAAACTCCCGTGGAATATATTTGCCTACACTGCCACCTCCTGGACTGTTGTGTGTGTGTGTGTGTGTGTGTGTGTGTGTGTGTGTGTGTGTGTGTGTGTGTGTGTGTGTGTGTGTGTGTGTGTGTGTGTGTGTGTGTGTGTGTGTGTGTGTGTGTGTGTGTGTGTGTGTGTGTGTGTGTGTGTGTGTGTGTGTGTGTGTGTGTGTGTGTGTGTGTGTGTGTGTGTGTGTGTGTTGCATCTCTGTATCCTCTTCTCTGTCCTACCACTAAAAGAATACTCACATTACTCCTGTGTTTCTGTCCTTTAGAGAGTTGAAGCTGAGGAATTACACTCCAGAGGACGAAGAGCTGAAGGAAAGGCAGGTGCCCAAAGCCAAACCTGCATCTGGTGAGAACCCATAAACGAGCCTCATAAAACATTAACTCAGATGATTTTGTAGTGTGGCTCAGACTCCTACTGTTGTAATCACACTTAATTTATGACAAATATTGTTATTTGATAATATTGTTTGTTTGCAGTGGAGGATAAAGTAAAAGACCAGTTAGAGGCAGCTAATCCAGAGCCCATCATTGAAGAAGTAGTAAGTACTTACCTTGTGTCTAAATCTGATTTTCTCTGTTGAAGATAGTAGTGTTGACACATTCAGCTGTTTTCTTCCTCAGGATTTGGCCAACCTCGCCCCAAGAAAACCAGACTGGTAAGAGCTTTTTGAAAATGATTTTCCCACCTGTATGTTGCATACAATCTTGGTATAATTAAAGAAAATGTGTTCCTGCCATTGCCTTGATATTGTGATTCTGAATCTAGGGATCTAAAGCGTGATGTGGCAAAGAAACTGGAGAAGTTGGAGAGGAGAACACAGAGAGCCATCGCTGAACTCATCCGTTAGTATTTCCCATTTCACGTTTTTGTGGTTTACTGCTGAATTTTCCTGACACCACAAAGACAAGCATGTCTGAGCTAAGCGTGAAAAATTAGGTTAATTGCTTTGTGGTTTCCAGACTCCAGAGGCTTGATGCTGTCTGATAACATTAGTGGTGTGATTCCTCCACTCGTGTGATCCACATTCTAAAAATAGGCACAAGCCTTCATGGAGAACAAGCGTCAAGGTTTTTCCTTGTTTTAATGTGTCACTCATTACTAATTGCTCTCATTGCCATTGAGAGTTAATATGTTACCGTTTATGGTGGAATGTAAGCATAAACAAACGGACTGCTTTCAATTTGGTGTTAGCATCTGCGCAAACTCATACAGCATGTTGCTGGGACAGGGATCATTGGTTACAGGGTGTCGATTGTGCATGTTTTCCACTCTGACCTTAACCAGAGTTATGGTCAATACGCAGTACACATACATGTAACTGGTGATTGAAGGATGCAGTGAATGAATGAATCAGATTCACCGTAAGTGTTTGTGTGTGCCCAGGCGATCGTCTCCGAGGCAGCGAGGAGGAGTTGGCCGGAGTTGTAGGAGCAGTAGGAGCGGAGGAAGGAGACTCTGACTGAATCCAAGATGTGACAGATAAATAAATTTTAAAAAGAGAGACAACAGAGGGAGGCAGTTTACTTGGATTGTACTGTCACATCTGTGTTGTGCTCAAAGTCACCGCTTTTTTCATTGCTGCAGGGAGTAAAGTAATGTTGTCTGTCAGACCTTTAAATTCCCTTTTGTGAGTCCTGTATTGTATCATTGCATTATTACGTATGAATATATTGTAGTACATTCTGTATGTGGGTTACTGAGGTACATTGTTAATGTAACTTCAATATTTTGTTGTATTTTTAAAATATTTTCAGGTAAAATAAAAAAAAAAGGCCTGATTATTTTCATTAATTTTGCCTTTGTTTTAAGTAGAGGTGGGCAATATGAATAAAATCCTCTATCTCGGTGTATATATAATTTTATATCAAGATACAGAGACATATTGTGGAAAAATATTGTGGCGAAAAGCGGGGTACACCCTGGACAGGTCGCCAGTCCATCACAGGGCCACACAGACAGACAACCACTCACGCTCACACCTAAGGACAATTTTAGAGACACCAATTAACCTAGGCTGCATGTCTTTGGATGTTGGGAGGAAGCCGGAGCACCCGGAGAGAACCCACACAGACATGGGGAGAGCATGCAAAATCACACAAAGGCCTGGAATGACCAATGTTCGATCCCACAACCTTCTTGCTGTGAGGGGACAGTGATAACCTCTGTACCACCACGCCGCCCCGTGGTCATATTTAAAATAAATATTTCTATAAATCCCATTTGTCTGGCAAAATGGCTTAATACATCTGGGAATGTTCACGGGATAGCTACCACAGCATAACAAATGGCGGACAAATTTCTGTTGTCATATCATACAGCCCTTCTAGATGAGGTACAATGGAGAATCAGAAAGGAAATGTAAGGAAGTGAGTGCAAACCTCCCCTGCTGCATTTGAACCAGGGACGTTGTTCTTACATGGCAAGCCTCATTATTTAATAGTTTTAGTTGCTGAGCATCCAAACAGGGAAAAGACACTTTTTAAATACATCATATTTATTCAGAAAACTATCTGAAAAGTTACACCCTAATCATCATGAAGTGACTGCTATTGTAATTACTGCAACATTAATGTCTGGCTACACTTGAATCAAAGATTAGCTTTGATTCAATGGGTGATAAATACAGGAACAATGATGAACAGATAACAATAAGCTGCTTTTGATATGACATTCACAAGTGATATCTAATGCAAGCACCTAAATACCTGTTCTGGACTAAAACACTCCTTTCACAATAAAGTGCATCTTCTGTCCACATAGGCCCAAACTGTCTTCTCAACAAGGAAGATATTGCACTGCGCATTACCACTCTTAATACAAGGCCACCTGCTACTGTCGTTATCTTTACTCTTTTCTCAAAAGGCAAAATATTCTCTAGAGAAGAAAAGAAACAGCGTACAGTCACTGCTCTTCTGAAGTTCACAAAAACTACACTAAAATGTGACTTGTGTGTCATTGAAATGGTTAATAGCCCATACCTTTGCTATAAAACAGATTCTCCTACCACACTACAACCTTCAAAAATATACAATATCAGAGATGAAGCTCACAAACTACAGACATTTATAGCCAGGTGATTAATACTGCAAAAACGGAAGTGTTGATATTGTGGCTGTGGAAGCTTGTTGAACCTATTTGAACATGATGCTGTTCTAAATGCTGTGATCAGGGAGAAAAGCCTCCAGAGGCTGTTAAATTGTGGATTTTGGTATTTAATAAAAGGAAACGTCACATATTACTCCGTAGGGCAGGCAGAGGATGTTTTGGCACTCAAAGTGGAAGAATAAATATTCCTGCATGCAGATTATCTAATGGTAAATGGTTAACACTTGTCAGAAGCAGAAAATGGCAAGGAGGAGGCCAATATCCTCAAAACCTATCCTCAATCAAAGGTTGGCTTTCGGGTGCCACACAGACCTCCACAGATTTAGCCCTTGAGCAGGATTGCTGTTGATCTTGTTGATATTGTAGCGTGATGGTTGGTTGGCAGGGTGGGTGATAATCTGACTGGTGCATTCATGGCTTCCTGTCGATTACTGCAAACAGGAAGTGGCTGATTCAAGGCTGTCAGTCGCACAGTCCTCCACCAGATTCAATCTTCCTGGCTGCAGGACCCAGTTCCACCTTGCACACCCTTTGGGCAAATTTCAGTGAGCACAGTGTCTCTCCCACATTGCTCTCCAGAGCAGACACCTTTAGTAGAAAGGATGAAACAAATCAAGGCTCATAACAAGCATCAAAAAGGCCCAAAAGGTAATTTACTGTAAATATGTAATACGGCTGAAAAACTATATTTTTGGAGCAGTGATCTCACCTGCACAACCATGACAGTCTTGCTGCCTTTGCCCAGGGAGTCTTGTAATAAGTACGTAAGGCGGGAGTTCCTGAAAGGGATATGAGTCTGCCGAGCTCTCAGTGCCTGAATTACGTCCCCCAGTGCCAGCAGGGAGCGGTTGATATTTTGGGCCTCCTTCAGCCTCTCTCCCTCTGCTCCAGACTTCCATACCCTCTCCGAACCAGCCAGGTCCACCAGGTTCAACTTGCCTGAGGAGAGAAAAGTTAAAGGTGAGACAACGAAGACCGTCATCTCTGGACCCACATCCTGATCAGAGGCTTCTCTTTTGTGCTTCTCTCTGCTCTCTTTCTCGACCTTCCTTCTGCTTAAAGACTGCAGATATCCACAGAGGTATCCCTTGGCAAATATTGGATTCAATAAGGAATGTCACATCTGATTCATATTTACATTAGGTATTACTATGGAGGCTTTGCCTGTAGAAGGGGAAAATGCATGAGAGACTGACCAGTGGTTTTGGACCCGGTGGCGAGGTCAGTTCCCTGAACGGTGATACAGAGCAGAGCGTGGGAACGGGAGCTGTGCTGGTTCATCTGAGTGCCGAAGGTGATCCTGTTTCTTCGGGCTGTGGCTAAAATCTGAACAAAAACTAGAATAACTCACACCAATGTAATGATTTATTCTCAAAGTGAAGTATGCATCGTTTCAAACACACTCACCTTCTTGATGTGCTGAAAGCTCTTAACCTCAATGACCCTGAGGCCCGGGACGTGCAGCTGTCCTGTTCCGTCCGGGTTGATCTTGATGTCCAGTTTCTCTCCGTCCTTACTGAGCAGGTCTCTGAAAAACAAAATATAGCACCAACAATAAAACAACCAACATAGCAGTAGCAGTAAATTGGGACAAACACTGCTAAAAGGCTATCTTTAGAAAAGTTCAGCATACTGTACCTTAGCACCTCGTTGTAGATCTCCACAGAGCTGACAGTGACAGTGTAAGACCACATGTCCTTCCTCTCTTCGATCTCACTGAAAAGATATTTCAGGGCTCGCTGGTTGATGCCTGGGTTCTCCACACTTCCCTGAAAATCAAATCCAATGTTAAGGACCGAATACCTGTACTGATATGTGCAGTGGCTACAATAATCCAACTTCTTTTACCATTCTGGCCCCAATAATGGAGTAAAACTACATAGTATACCTCCATTGTGTATGTTTTTCCAGAGCCAGTCTGTCCATAAGCAAATATGCAGACATGGTAGCCATCGATGCAGGACGTCACAAGAGGCTCGATCTCCTGAAAGACCTGATGAAACCAAACACTGTTAGAGGTCTTCTTACAATTACATTACATGAACGTGTTGTTCAGTTTCACTACCTCCTCCTGTGTGGCTTGAGGGTGGAAGACCTTGTCTAGTTCAAAGATGCGACCTTTTCCTTTGTTCAGCACATTGAGCGAGGACTCGTTGTTGGGGTCCGTCGTCACCACCACAGACTGGCCCTCCTCATGCTGGTCCTCTTTCAGCACAGGCTTCACGCGACACAGCACGCGGATGTTACCTAAAAAGCAGAAGGCCCAGTTAATGACACAGATTTTATTTTCAGCAGTGAAATTTATTTCGTCCTCTCTGCATACCTTTAAGCTCCACCAGCTGCTCGTGGTACTTCCTGCGCAGTGCGACCTCCTTCCGATATTTCTCCAGTAGATCTTTATTGGCTTCAGACATCTCACTGATAGCTGCTGAAATCTGCCAAAGACAGACAGCGTAACACTCTTTAGTAGCCTTGTCAATTTGGTCAGATTTATCAGTCCCCTAAATACAGGGGACTAAGTCATGAGGCGATGTCACTGTACATACCTGTTTTTTTGCTTCGTTAATAGCTGCTCCGTAAAAGTCAGAGAAGTTTCGGACCTGGCTCCTCAGACTGCTGTAGTCTGTCTTTATGGAGCGTAAAGTGGGAGGGAGTGCTGTCAGACGCTTCTGCAAGCCTGACAAAAATAAAAACCCATGTAAAATCAACCTGAAATACAGTTTTGTCTCAGTAAATCTATTTAAAGGAGTAGTTTGACATTTTTGAAAATATGTTTATTCGCTTTCTTGCCAGGAGTTAGGTGAGCAGGTTGATACCACTCTCTTATCTGTGTGTTGAATTCAAGGCTACAGCAAGCACCCGGTTAGCTTAGCTTAGTATAAAAACTGGAAAGGGGGAAACAGCTAGATTTGGTCTTTTTGGTCTGTCCAAAGGTAGCAAAATCTCTCTGCCAGGTATTCTAAATCTTACTGTTTAATATTTTGTGCGTTATCTATACAAAAGCCTTTGGGGTGGTGCTGATGGCATAGTGGATAAGACACCTGCCCTTGGTGTGAGAGACCCAGGGTTGAAGTCCACTGTGATACACCAATGTGTCCCTTAGCAAGACACTTAACCCCTAGCTGCTCCAGAGGCATGCGACCCCTGACATATACTGTATAGAAATTGTAAGTTGCTTTGGATAAAAGCGTCAGCTAAATAAATTAATGATTATTATATTTCCTAAAATGTCAAACTACCTCTTTATAGATGTAAATTCAAATTTCTGATGTGCACAAACCAAGATCTCTTTGATTGTGGGTTTAATTATTTGGTGTAACTCACTGAAGAATTGGTCCTGCAGGTTCTGAAAGTGCTCCGCTGAGCAGTTGGCGGCTGCCTTCACAGCTTCCTCCTTCCTCTCCTCCAAGTGGCCAATCTCTTTCAGCAGCTCCTCTCTCAGTTTACTGATTTCTCTCTCATATGCTGCAATCTGTAAAGGGTTCAGCCCAGCAATTTGTCAATATGCCAGCTCAAGTGGTCCAGGTGTGCAGGTTCAGCTCTGTCAATAAAATTTGTCAATATAAATTGATCCAGGTTGCGAATTTCCAGCTGCGATGTGGGAAATGTCCTCCTTCTGCCTTTGATTTTCCCTCCTTTGATCATCTGTTCTCTAAACACGGTGTGGTTTATTTACCCCTCTGGACTTCAATTCTGTCTCTTTCATTTTTTTTAAATAAAAGTTGATGGCATCTGCAGGACCATCTGGGACTTGTTTCCAGTTTCCTTGCCTCTTAGTGGCTAGCAGCCAACAGTACTAATTTGCGTACTGATGGATATGTAGCATCATTATGGAGCATTTTTGAAAAAAAGCCCGGATAATGGTTCACCTTACAATTTATGTCCGCGGCCTTGTTGCTGGCTGACATGAGTTCAAAAGCTGGTGTAGCACAATTATTTACTTCTAAAAACATTTCATATACTGTATCACCCAAGTACAAACTGTTTTAAACTGCATGTTAAAAGCAGCCCATTTGGGTGTGTATTACTGCGTGTGTTTACTTCAAACAGACAGGACAGATAACAATTCACGCCAAACTAGTTACGCATGAACTCTATGACCTCTTTTTGATACCTTGTGCTGCAGATTACAACTGTATTCATCGGACTTCCTGATTTGTTCCTCCAGCTGCTTGCACCGCTCATTCTGATTGGACAGCTTTTCGGATAGCAGCTCATTCCTCTGTCTGGCTTTAGTCAGATGCTTTAATGTTGCAGGTGATTCCACCTCCACAGTCTGGGTGACATACTGAGAGAGAAAACACGTCTGATTAGGGCTATCTTCTCTAATAACATAAAAAATAAGGTGACAATGAGTTTTTAGTTGCAATTTTGTTCATTATTCCTTATTCATATTAAACACTTTCAGTTCAGTACAGATTGTAGTGTGTTAACAAATCTCACTCTCAAATTCATAAAAAACATCATTATGTTGAATGTCAAAATCTAAGGTAAGTCTTACCTTCACCACTGGCTCCTTGCCTCTCTCCCTGTCCAACTCCAGCTGCAGCTCCCTCACTCGGTCCTCTCGTTTCCTCAGCTCTTCTCCTCTCCTCCACTCACTTTGTTCGCTCTGTCGCTCCAGGTGTGACAGCTGGTCAGCACGCTGCTGAAGGCATATCTCCAGCTGCTGCACTCTGCTGCGGAGGTTTTCATTCTCCTAGCAGAGCGCATAAAAAAACTAAATTACAGCTATTTGTGTTTGCAGTTACCGAAGGCTGCCTCGGTAACACAACGAAAAGCTCTCAGCTGTGCTGGTGCATCACCTTGATGAGCATGGTGCTGGACTGGGAGGGGATGGTTGACAGCTGCTGCAGGAGGCCTTGGGTAACGCTCAGGTTCTGTTTCAGACTCTCATTCTCTGCTGACAGACACAACACCCGCTTCTCCGAGTCTGTTGCCCCCTGTGGAAATGAAATATGAGGTTCAGCATAACAATGAGAGATGCATCAAAACAAAGAGTTCTTCACCATGTGAATTCCTCACATACTGTATATATCCTTGTAGATGAGTGTTTCTTCATCATGGATTTATAATTAGGGTCTTATACAATGCATTCTGAGCGCTGTTTGGTATTTTTACAGTATGGCATTACCTTCAGTGGCTTTGGGAATACACTGTGGCAGCTTTGCTGATGACATGTCATGGAAAGTGACAAAGACTGTGACAAATCATAAATCAATAGTTCACAGCTCTTACGGTGGCTGTTCTCAGTCTTGACAGCTCCTCCTCGCGCTCTTCTATGCAACTCTTGAGCTCATCAATCTGTGCAAGAAATAAGTTACTAAAACAGGTTTTTTATTGAGAATATAGACATGTTCAAGTTGTATTATTTTTTTATTTAAACTTTTTTTTTTTTCCCCAGGAACTCTCTTGAGATATGTGTAGTAGTTTGTACAGAGTCACATAAAAAATTTACAACATTCAACTACAACATTCACACTAATGCACAATAACATAGGACCTGAGAGGCATCCTGCATTTATGTGCATGTAAATTTATTGTGTCTCTCCATAAATTAAAAACTAATATAAATTCAAATTCTCTTCTCTCTTCTACTATTAGTACTTTTTGGAGACTTCATAATAGGCAGGCATTTTTTTAATTGATAGAGCATTTGGGATTTAACTAATATGCAGCATCATACCTGCTGTTGAAAGGCCAGTATGCGAGAGTGTCTGTCTCTGTCCTTCTGTTCCAGCTGTGAGTGCAGCAAACGGAGTTCTCCCCTCAGCTTACTCCTCTCACCCTGCAGACCGTACAGAGACTCAACCAGCCTGTGAATCCCGGCTTGTGTCCCTACATCACTGCTGGACTCACCTGGAGGACATAAATCAGTAAAACCATAAATCAGCCTCTCCATCATCATTGCAGACGTGGTAGTACTAACAGCCAAATAACTTTAATCATATTTGGACCCCTGCGATGGACTGGCGACCTGTCCAGGGTGTACCCCGCCTTTTGCCCGATGTACGCTGGGATTGGCGCCAGCCCCCCCGCGACCCTGTACGCGGGATAAGTGGTTGACGATGGATGGATGGATGGATAGATATTTGGACCCATGTTAACATTAGACCACCCAGAAATAGTAGCAGCCAATATACTTTGAACTTTTCTGACCTGTATGTAATCTTTTCACTTATGACCAACTTCCACACTACCCTTGAATGCTTGCGAGTGTGTGTAATATTAATGAACATTAAGTATGCACTGAAAGCTGTTTTATACACTACGAAGTCACCGTTCATTGCAGTGAAGCTCACATTATCGTTGCCGTGTTTCAACTCTCAAGTCTCCAGGGCAACTCCACAGGCCTATATAGGATTACTCCTGCTTCTCATGTGCCAAACCAAAAATTCACATTTATACGAAGCAACAACCTGCTAAAACTCCTCTATTGTTTATCAGGAACCTGAGCAGCATGGCCAACAGCATTTTAATCACTTTCTTTCTTGTAAATGATTCATCATGCTCTGTCACCTCTGATTTTCATTGCTAATTCTATAAACACACCATGTCAGGTTTGCTGTGTCACAACGGCGCACGGAGAGGTGGTGTTGCAAGGAACAAAAAAAAAAATGGAAGTTTAGAGCTATGTATTAAGGGTGTTGATAGAAACGTGCTTAAAAGAAAGAAAGAAACAAAAAACATTCCACTCACTTTGAATAATCTTTCCTTCTTAAATCCTGTTCACATTTTTATATGGCAAATTACGGTATGAAAACTGTAAATGAGAGCACAAAACATTCTCATGTATATTAATTACATCACCCAGTGGATGTACATATATTGTGACGAGCATGTGAACATGGCTTTCTTTGTTCATTGTCCTCCTAGTCCATCTTCCTCCATCCATCAGATGATATAATCCAATCTGAAGTCTCCTATCGACTACCTTTAGTCCCCTGTGCCATTTCCTGCCTCTCTTTTCACACCAACCTAATTTGTGTGGTTATTACACCTCTGATTTTCATTGCAGGACCATGAGCTAATTCTATCAACACGCCATGTCAGGTTTGCTGTGTCACAATAGCGCAAAAGAGAGCTGGTGGTGCCAGAAACAACAAAAAACATGGAGGAGAGTTTACAGCTGTGCATTAGGTGGTATTGATAGAAACGTGCTTGCAAGAAACATGAACAATCTATGAGCTGTTCTGGTCTGCAGAGGCTGTGAGATAGCTTTGTCCATTTATCCAACATATCCAACAGCAGCTTGAGAAAAAAAACATATTTCCCCAAAATGCACTAGTGGTGGAAATTCAGCACAGCATTACTCCTCCAATTAGGTCTGTACATTGCATTACAGTAAACAAAACAGACCAAACAGCCTTGTAACACTGGGACAAGGACTCCGGGCTATTTTTAGTCCAATACAAGTACACGTGGCATCTTGCATGTGCCAGACCTTGTAAGTGCATTTGCAGGGAATAAAACAGCGCTCTCAGCCATGTTTAATTTATGACAGAGAGAAACAGAGTCTCTATCCAAGTACCAAAGACCCTTGCAACATAATCATGTATCTTTGTTCTGTGACTAATGAGAGTCAGCACGCATGAGGTCATCTGCTCACACACCTCCACACTGAGATTCATATGGGAAAAAAGAGGTCTGGTTATCGTACATGTTATCATACATATTGACTTATTTCTCTGAGGTTGTATCAGTCAGCTTCATGTCATGCACTTGCTAACGTGCACAGAAAAGTGATGTTAGTCAGGGTGGCTGGTATGTCCACGCTTCTCCTCTGAGGTCAAAGAACCATCTGGTTTAAATTTGAAACATAGCAGATACCAACAACAAGCTTTGAGGTCAATCGCAGCTGTAAAGCGTTAACCTGGCCTCGGTGACATCACGAGACTTACACCCACATAAATCTAATCAGTCTGCTCCTCTGCTGATGACTGTATTCTTATAAAAAGGTGTACAGTGTGTCCCCTAGCTGCAAAGAAATCTAATTTTGCATGAGGAAAATCAGTGATGTGAACTACGGAAGACACTGTCGTAGGAATGAATGATGAAATTTAAAAAATAAAAACATTCCACTCCCTTTGAATAATCTTTCCTTCTTAAATCCTGTTCACATTTTTATACCGTAATGAAAAATTACAGTATAACAAAACATTCTCTGTAATTAATGTATATTAATTACATCCCCGAGTGGATGTATATCTATTATGACGATCATGTGAACATGGCTTTCTTTATTCATTGTCCTCCTAGTCCATCTTCCTCCATCCATCAGATGATCTCATCCAATCTGTCGTCTCATATCGACTACCTTTAGTCCCCCTGTGCTCTGCTTCTCTTTTTACACCAACCTAAACTGTGCAGTTGTTAAAAACGCCACATGACCACCTTCATCACCCTTACACTCACATGAAAATGTATACCCATCCCCTCTTCCACTTTAATTTCACCCTCCCCCACCCCTTCTTTCCTCTCTCCTCCCACTCTGCGACCCTTCCCTTTCTCTCTCACCCTCACTCGGTGGACTGGGGGTCTGCTGCTGGCTGATTGCCTCCTCCAGGCTGCTGATGATGCTGTTCTTATCCCTGAGGTGCTGCCGGTAGGACGCTCGCAGGGCCTTCATCTGGTGGCGGTGCTGGACGCGGTGCCTCTTCAGCTGGACCCGGTACTGGTCGGCCTGCTGCTGCAGCTGCTGGAAGTGGGAGTACTGCTCCAGAAAAGTCAGCAAGTGGGACATCACTGCCACCAGGGGAGACTCTGACAACTGGGCAGTACAGACGCACACATACACACTAAGTTTAGCAACACATAAGAAGCTCCTATTTGGGGAACAGCACAGTTTTGCTACCTTTCCCGTTGTTTCCAGCTGAACGTGCGAGGCCCTCCTCTTTTCAGCCTCTTGTTTGAAGGACAAAAAGGCAGCAAGAGGAGTGCATGCTGGGATGTCAGGGCCATCTTTCTCATCTTCATCACTCTGAGACATTTCATCACTGTCACTGCTACTGCCTGGATAACAACAAATCACATAAACAATAAAGAGTGAAGGAATGTATGTACTAATGAATCAACTAGTTAAAACTATCCATATAATACATGTTGTCATCAACAGTCTTTATGTTGGACTATAAATACTCTGAAAAGCCATTTGAGCACTCACTTGACTCACTAAGCCGAGCACAAGCCTTTTTCCCCAGTTTAGAGGTGTGGCCATCTTTCCTCCTGCTCCCTGTTTCCATGGAAACAGGACCTGGCTCCTGAGCACAGCAACATATACATGAGGGTCAGATGGTAATACACACGCAAAATATTCACACATTGCATACGTAGAAATGCACTGCCAATGTCTACACTCTTTATGACGGGGGCTATATTGGATGGTCATGTGGTAGGTGACGCATGCATGATCCCCCTGCAAAAAATGTTTTCCTGAGAGAAGATCCCTGAGGCTGGACATGATGTGGCTAGACATACGTCTGAGGAAGCTCCACACGCCCCCTCCAAGGCTTCCACCTCATCCTCCTCCTTCTTAAAGACAGTGTAGAAGATGTACACTAAAAGAGAGTAGAAGGCGTACATCTCCACGCTGTCCAAGAGTCCCTGTAAATGACAATCAACCTCAGTATTCACACACCTTTCTCATGGTGCAGAAGAAAGCGGACAAAAATTCTACTTCTTACCCTGATTATATTTTAACACACAAGAATAATAATTATCAAAGGATGCAAGATGATGATCCTGGTCTCCCCATCCCATCATGCATAATGCTTTATCTTCTTTACCTGATCACATATCTTCTCCTCTTTGGCGATCTGACATTCCAGTCATTTGTATTCCCCTTTCACACTTTCTGTGTTGTCAATGACAAATCCTCCCATGCAGCGCTTGTTCTCTGAGCTGCAACAGCATCCCAGCTCCTATGTGCAGCTCCTGTGTGACTCCCTCTCTGCCGCTCTCTCTCCTCCCCTTTCTCCTCCTTCTCCTCCTCCTCTTCTCCACTTTGCTCCATCTACAGGCTCCATCTGCAGCGAGGATGCTCAGTGCAGTTTCTTAAAGCCGCTGCAGTGGTGGAATGACTGATACAGTGTGGAGAGCTATTGAGCTGGGGGGGGTTCATAAAGATCAGAAACTGCAGACTTTTGACTTTATCTTCCTTTAGTTAATATTAACAATTTCTGTTAAGAAAATAGCAATAAAATAATAAATAAAAGTACAACATCTGACACTTCCACATAGCCCCTCAAAAAGGCGTGAACTGAATGATGAATCAGTACAAAAAAGCACAGTCACTACAATTATCACACCCAAGACTCACAAACATGCACAAAATGAGTGTGCACATCTTAAAAATATCCCTTGTCACCTGTGCCCTGACAAAGGTATTGACCCACAGACAGGCACCGAGCCATAGATACTTGTACGTATACTGCAGCAAAACTGCTGAGGCAGCGGCTCACATATCTGAAATCCTGAGAGAGAATCTGCAGTGGGCACTACACATCTCTGTAAAGAATATCAATATCTTGCAAGGACAACATGGTGGACAAACAAAGTTATACAGGCCTCATTTAAGTGACGGTGAGTCAAACAGATGAGGTCATTTCTGTTACTGAAAAAAAAGGAAGTAATACAAAAGAAATATCACATTGGCATAATGAGGTAAGAACGGGCCAAGAGCTCAGACCACTGCAGATATTTAAACAGTGATACTGCTGAGGCTGCAAGAACACATACGACCAGACTCTGAGGCAGCTGTTACTAGAGAGATGTGTACAGGATGTCAGTGGCCTCAGATTAAGTCCAGCCAGTTAAACATTCTTAAAAATGAAAATGCATCAGAATCAGTTATTTTAATATTAATGTTTTCATTGTTTTGCTCAGGAATAGTTTGTAATCTGTCCTTAAACGTCCATTTGTAAATGCATGTTATACTTTAGTGCACACAGCCTCCAATTCAGGAACTAGAGCTTCAACTAACGATTTGTTTTTCATTTTCCATTAATCTATCAATAGTTTTTCAGATTTATCAATTAATAATGTCATTTATAAGGCATTAGAAAATAATTTAAAATGCCGGTCATAACGCAGAACCCAAGGGGAAGTCTTCAAATTGCTTGTTTTGTCAGATTAACACACTTGAAACCAAGGATATTTTTATTAGTTCCTCACATTTGAGAAGCAGGAACCAGCCATCGTGTGGCATTTTTGATCAATAATTAGTAATTGCATGATTAAGCCACTATCAGAACTGTAGCCATTTTTTGTCTGGAAACTTTCATTAAAAGATTTTATTAGTAGTATGTTGTGTTGAACGTTGTCCTGTCTGTTCTGTTGCACTATGAGCTCAACATGGCAAATTCCAAACAACATTTGTTGTATTGGCAATGTCAATAAAGTTAACTCATGTCAAGTATTCTAATAAATGTCCTGAAATGCTTTTAAAGGGATAGTTCAGGATTTTTGAAGTGAGTCTGTATGTATCCATATTCAGTGTAATTATTACCTTAAGTAGATTTAAGTAGAAGCACATCCTCCTCTGTGTCAGTACAACTCCATGCTTCTCCAAACTGGTGACACGCCAGCCGCCATCTACTGCAGGTAAAACTATGAGTATTGATAAGTACCTCATAGAGCCCCACTTCAAAAATTCCAAGCTATCCCTTTAAGTTAGACACATTCATTTTTGCATTGACCCAATTCGTCATTTGGTACTATGTGGCAGTCCATAAATATACACAGATCCTGACTAATCATACAGATGCCTACTGAACTACATGCCTATGTTACTTCGGTCATTCACATCCAACAGAAACTTGCTGAGGGCTCGTGTGGAGGCCCAACAGCCAACAGACATGGAACATTTTAAAAGCCACTTGATGAGTCCCTCAGTTGCAGCTGGAGAAATGAGTGCTGCAAAAGTGTTTGTTCCGACCCCCGGAGCCACAACCAACGGGAGACTGAGGGCCACACCGCCCAAGGCCCCTAAAGCGTTAGCTGCAAATAGACACACTATCAGGCAGCAGGACAGGGAAGACACTCCCAGGCAGCGTGTCATCATTGTGAGAGCATCTGCTGAGAGCCAGTCATACAGCCCAAGCAGCAGACAGGAGCCACACAGGAGAATATGTGCCGTGTTGTGGTCTTCACTGAGCCACAGGAAGTCAAAGGAGACCAGCGCCGGAGCCAGAACCTCACTGGCCCACTCTGCTTCTTTCTGGATAGAAGTGAGGTATGAGCTGGAGGGATGCAAGATGCAAAGTGCTGCAGAGAGTCCGAGCAGGAAGAGACCTACTGAAGAAGCCCTGTGATCCTGCAGAGAAGTGAATGCAGAGTCAGTAGCACAATTACAAAGGGAGACATTTTATACATGCATTTATTTATTATCTTATTTATAACTAAAAGTAACAGAGATCTTAGCCACGGGGTGTTAGGGATACTTACATTTATTATGTATCACACATAGTTATGACAATTTAGCTGCAAAATAAGCAATAGTTAAAAAACTTGAACTAAGCAGGAAGGTAGGTATTACAGTTTGTTTTTTTTATCGCTTTGGTACTATTATCGCAAGTATGTGGTAAAATTTCACAACTTTTAGTACAAAACACCAAACTCATCACACTTATAACATCCCCAGTCTTTCATTCAAAACTTGCCATTGTGCATTCATTTGGATTGTAAAAATCACCCACCACACAAGCCATTGATTAAAAAAAAATATATATATATAAATATATATTTATTTATGTATTCAAAATATACGTTTCTCATGGAAAATCATGACAAAATATAGTTTAATCACCAAAACACAACATAAGGATATCTTTTCAGTTTAGTCGTTTTAACTACCAGTGAATCCAATGATAAACAATGCAAGATACATGTTTCAAATCGTCTTAGAAGTGCTGAAAATAGTATGCTACAGTACTGTAAAAGACAGATCACACAGTTTTCATGTTAGGCAATACACTTTCATTACCCAACATTTACAGAATATATCATTTCCATAATATCTATCCTATATGTAAGTCAAGTCAAGATCAAGTTGTGATCAATGAAGACCTCCTCTACAATCATTTATTTTTCCAGATATAACATAATACTTTCTATAATCAAATGTACAGTTACAGTAAATAAAACAAAGTACTGTAAAGCCAGCTTCATCAACAAAAATGTACTTGTGATGGTTTACATCAGCATCAAGCGCCATCGCCCTCTATATATATATATATATCATATATATATTTTGGTTAGTTCTTTTTACAGTGTAGTTTTAATATACATAAGTAGGTGATGCATCAGATAGTAACATTAATACAGTATACAGTGCTGTACCTGAACATATTCAGCCCTCAGCTGTTTCACCCGGTCATTGTTTCTCTCAAAAGCCATCAGGTATATTTGTTTCATTGATAGCTGCTGCCTCTTCATAAGGGCTACTGTTGGTAGGCTGATGGATGCCACACTGGCAATGGTGTTACTGTTCTCCTCAACTGCCTGCTTTATTACTGACAGCCGTATATCATTATTGGCCCTCACCATTTCCACCACTGCCAACTCCTGCTGGTCTGTCAGCACACAGCCACAGCTGTGGGGTTTTCTGTCAATTCTTAGCATAGACAGAATATACTATTGATAGATCATACTGTTAGAATACTGTAACATGTTGAAGAAATGTGAATTTGAAGATGAATTTACATGCATTACAATTTACAGTACTGTAAATATAAAGGTAAAGCACAGTATACATCCTCCAGACTTACCGGTTTTCTTGCCAAAAAGTGTGAATGATTCAATTGACAGTTGATCTTTTTAGATTTGGCTCAACTAATCTGGCAGCCTCTGCCATGGCAAGCCCTTGGCTCACCACATGATCAACGATGATAGCCCAGACTTCACTAGAGACAACAGTTCTGCCTCCCCCTCTCTGACGACCAACCATTCGACAGGCCCTTTCAACACCTCTGTGACCTCTCTGAAGTTGCCCATGACTGCCTCTCTGACCTATCTGTAATTGCACATGCCCACCTTTCTGATGGACCCCTTGTCTACCAGCTCTTCCTCTTCCTTGCTGTCTATCCTGCTCCATACTGAAAGATATTGCCAGTGTTTATACCTCATCTTTTAATGGGTGACCAATTGTGGTTACGAGATTAAATCAATCAGCAATAATAGGTATTCATGTGTTAGGTAAGGTTACATGTAATTTAAATGTTCATACAAACACATAATTTATGAAGCTTACAAACCAATTTCAAATCTATAGATTAACCAAATAGTTCAGTGATTAACCATTAAGATCAGTTGGATTAAGTGTTGGTCAAAAGTATTTATGCAAATCAGAAGAGAAGCATATCAAAAGTATTGTGAGCATTTCATTGTGAAAGACAATTACTTCATATGAAAGGTATTTCTTTGATGACCCACTGGTTAGGTGTGGTGAAAAAGTTACTGTGTAATATTGTGTGTTGTATTTAGTCAACTGAAGTTGCTTTGAATTTTGTACTAAGAGTTGTGAAATTTTACCACATACTTGCGATAATAGTACCAAAGCAATCAAAAAAAACTGTAAGAAACAAAGTAATAGGCACGGAACTAAATAGTCATGCAGTCAATAAAATGTCAGAAAACCTGCCCATGACGATTTCCCAGAGCCTAAAGTAAAATATTGAAATAGCTTGTTTTGTTCAACCAACAGTATAATATCCAAACATAAACAAATTTAGAATAAGAAAAGGCAGAAAATCCTCACATTTGTCAGGATGGAATTAATCAACTAATAGTTTCAGCTCTGAAAGTTAATAAATTAGATCTTTATTGGCACTACAGTGAATGACTCCTACCTTAAAGAGTTTGTAGGAAGAGTACAGTGCTGTGCTAGACAACATGATGTTGGAACAGGATGTTATCCAGTCAGTGCCACAGGACGCCATTGATCCTGAGGACGGGGGCAGTTGGTTCTATTGAACGTGTCTGAAGTTAACTACTACAACTGAAGCATTTATCTGAATACTGGCAAGTATTTCATGAAATCAACAAACAGATAAGCACAAAGGACCAAACTTAAAGCAGGAACACTTTCGCACGTTTGTTTTTACACGTGACAATTCCGGATATAGACAGTGCGCAGGCCCAAAACATGCATTCAAAGATACTCGTAAACTCTGCCACTACTGGATAAAAGGAATTAATTGTAGTTAAGAATTAGACGAATGTTTTTGAGAATCACTTGAGTTTTATCATTCTCTAAATCGCTTTTACTTTCTTTTGTGTGAGACTGTGCTCTACAAATAAACTTGAAATAAATGTTTGTATGTTACTAAAAAATCTGATAGCCATCTATATTTCGTTAAACTAACATTTTAAATAGTGCTTTAGCCTACCTAAAATTATAAGCTAAACTTTTAATAGAAATAATGTATTTTTGCTTGGTAAAAAGTTGCATAGGATTTCAGCTCATCGCAAGACTGTGTTAGCATCTAATGTGAATTAGTTCACATTAGTTCAATTGTAATCGCTAAAACAGACGGGGCTGTACCGCGTTCAGCAGAAGATTTTTTTGACAGTACCTGAAGGCACCTAAAATTCGAAGAGTATGGCGGCGGAGTGTTTGACAACATTAACAGAGCAGTGGATACGGGACAGATTACAATTAAAACATCCTTGTCTCGGTAATGTTATCTCATGCTATACAAACATTATGTAGGCATAAATACCAACTAACATTAAGGGAAAGCCGTGACGTTTAGGTTTTGTTATATAAAACAGTTGTGGATAGTTTCTTAATCATCGGTACCTAAGCTAACGGGCAGCTAACAAACATAACATTAACATAAGTGTCATCTGGCACAAACCAAAGCACCAGAAGCAAATAATGCAGTAACGTTACAGTCTTTTAAACAGGTGATGTCCGCTCGCTGAGCCTCCCGGGGACGTATGAGGAGAAGATAAGACATCTGGGAAACTCACTAAATAATTTTGTCCGGCTAAAGTCCCTGGACCTTTCCTGCAACGCGCTCGTCTCCGTTAAGGTAACTTAGGTTTAAAGTCTTTATAGTGTTTTAATTTGTAAACTTGTTTGTAGAGTAACTCATTTATATATTGAATTATATAGGGGATCATAGCCATATGATGTATACACACAGACTGAAATATTCAAATCCAAGATGTCCAAATGTCTTATTTGATATCTTGGAAAAGTTAGATTCTGTGGGTTTAAAAAAATATCTGGCTGCATGGCATGGCCACTCTAACCACCCCATCATGACCCCAGTGGAACGTTACCTCGTTTGAAGGCAAGACAAGGCAAGGCAAGTTTATTTGTATAGCACATTTTAACAACAAGGTAATTCAAAGTGCTTTACATAAAACATAAAAGGAACAGGGAAATATAAAAAAGATTAAAAATAACATAAAATATAATAAAAAGTTACAGTGTTACAATCAGGGTTAAAAGAGTTAAATGGAAATATTTAATTAAAAGCAATGGTAAAAAGAAAAGTCTTCAGTCTTAATTTAAAAGAACTGACAGTTTCAGCAGACCTGCAGTTATCTGGGAGTTTGTTCCAAATATACCTATAGTATATTATATATACTTATATATAATAAGTCCTTTAATCCTTGATATATTCTTCAGGTGATAGTAGGCTGACTTTGTAATTGTCTTAATATGGCTCCTCAAATTGAGGTCTGAGTCCATGACTACACCAAGATTTCTGGCTTGATTTGTGGTTCTTAACATTACAGATTGAAGTCGAGCACTGACTTTCAATCGTTCCTCCCTGGCTCCAAAAACAATAACTTCAGTTTTATCCTTGTTTAATTGAAGAAAATTCTGGCACATCCAATCGTTGACCTGCTCAGTACAGTTACTCAGCACCCGTATGGGATCATAGTCCCCTGGTGATATGGTTATGTAAATCTGTGTGTCATCTGCATAATTATGGTAACATATTTTGTTGTTTTTCATAATCTGAGCCAGTGGAAGCATGTAAATGTTAAACAAAAGAGGTCCCAGAATGGAGCCTTGGGGAACTCCACATGTCATTTTTGTCAGCTCAGATGTGTAATAACCTATAGACACAAAGTAGTCCCTGTCCTTTAATTAGGATTCAAACCATTTTAGTACTGTGCCAGAAAGTCCAACCCAGTTTTCAAGTCTGTCTAGTAATATGTTGTGGTCGACCGTGTCGAATGCAGCAATGAGATCCAATAACACTAAGACTGAAATTCTGCCACTGTCAGTGTTTAAATGGATGTCATTGAAGACCTTAACAAGAGCCGTCTCAGTGCTGTGGTGTGGTCGAAGTACACTCTACACCTGCCTTACTTCACCAATGTCCTCCCTCACCCAACAAGCATTTTACTAACTTGTATTGGGGGATGTTTTAGGTGACATTGTTATGAATGAGTCTGATAGTAACTGTTGCCTGGCCCTTTTTAAAACTGTATTGTTTCCTCCACAGGGTGTTCAACATTTGAAAGTGCTGGAGAGGCTGATCCTGTACTATAACTGCATACCTTCCCTTGAAGAGGTGGAAGTACTGTACGAGCTGCCAGCTTTGAGAGAGCTGGACCTAAGGCTCAACCCTCTGACCAAAAGTCACCCACACTATCGCCCTTATCTGGTGCACGCCATGCCCACCCTACGCAACCTAGGTAAGATGCAGCTATGTTGCCCAGACTGCGATTAGCTCGGCACCGTTTCTTAGCATAACTGAGCGTCCTCCACTGCTTTCTAGATGGCTGCTCAGTCAGAGACACTGAGCGCAAAGCTGCCATACTGCAGTTCTCCTCTGACCTTCTACCTCAGCAGAAGAGCTCATCTTTGAATCATCTTGCTGACCAAAGGTACACTGATTGTCAGATGCTTTAACGTTAAGTGTCTGTGTTTCAGATCAACTTTGACTTGGTAGAATGTCTACTAATGATCTTGAGGATATGGGAAACACAACAAAACTGATTATAATGTTTGTTGGGTCTAGAGCAGATTGAAGAAGGACAGAGGAGCTTTGGGAATGTTTGGAAATTGGTTAATTATTCTACCACACTGCACACCTGACTTCTTGAATGCCCATCACTCAGATTTATTCTTGCAACAATGAAGTTTGCCCCCCAAAAATGGGAGTGACTTGGGTGCTTAGTTTTGGAGAAAGCAGCCACGTACGGATCAGTGTAGAGTTTTAAACGTCAAAATTGTTGTAATCCTGGGTGGCAGAAATCCCCACAAAAAGTTACCACTGTCAAAATAAATTCCTTTCCGCTGTTTGCTCGAGTTGCATCTTTGCTGTCTTTGCTTGTGGTTCACAGAAGCAGTGGTCCGAGAATGGCTTTAGTTAATCGCTTAACCAAGAGGCTCTCTCTCCTGACTGAAACTGATGACATTTTGTTGAATTTTGTTGCGACGAATCATGGAGACCATGGTGACTCAGTTCACAAGGAGGAAGACGGTAACACGTCAAAGTCCAAAAGCTTATTCTCAAATCAAAACCAATCCTGTAGAGTTTAGGTTTTGTTCTCAAACGCCTATTAATTTCAAACTGTCTTCTGTCTCAGAACCCAAACAGCAAGAATCAGAAGATTTTACAGAACAGAGAAGTTCTACTCCAAAACAGGTGATTTTTATTTCACTGTAGGTGAAACTGGGGTTGGGCAATATGACCAAAAATATTATCATGATAAAACCATTTCATATCATTCGATATCGATAATTATCAAGATATATGTCATTCTTATTTTCAAGTTTAAAGGCTGATTTCTGCTCCTCAGTCAAAATTGAAGATACCAGATGGTTAATTATTGTGGTTCAACTTTTCTTTATGGTGAGAATGTGACAAACACTTGATGCCAAACAGTGGATCTGAGGTAGAACATTCAAAACTATTATGATAAAATCTTTTTCAAAAAATATGATTAGTAAATCTTTTTTTAGTCCCTTTTCCTCAACAAAATAAATATTTTTATAGAAAAATTCAAGGCTAATCAGTCCGTGATTAAAAAGAATTAAACCAAATATTTATTGACGATATATTGAACATGTATTATATTGATATTGAGGAAAATTATATTGCAATAATTATCATTGTTGTTTTATTGCACAGGCCTAGGTGAAACACAATTACCAGTAGTACATTTACATTATCGTATATACTGCGTACTACTGTTTTTTCTTTGTTTTAGGAAACTGCTAAATCTATCCTCCGGTATCCCCCCACGAAATATGGTGAGTTTTCACAGCTCTTTGTACTCCAGAGAGTCAATCAGAGATAAAGAGTTAGTCAAGTGCATTATAGTGTTTTATTAGAAGGATAGAGATTGCAACAGTTGATATGATGTGAACAAGACTTGTTGACTGGTACAATGTCATTTTTTTCTTTTTTAGTCCCAGCTTTAGACATCATGATCCTTAAGCAATTAATCAAAAATCAGCATTTTTGTAGTTGTAATTAAAATGTGCAAATTTGGTGATTAGAATAGGTCATTAGAGCTGGGTGAAAACAGGATAAAATACCTTTTCTTAAAATAGTTAAATAAAGGGCACTACATTACAGTAGTAGCACCCCTTCAGTCATTGTCTTTTTAAAACCACCACTAGGGGGAGACAGAAGACAATTCTTGTGTATTTTTAATCATGAACACAAGGTCAGTCTAACAAAGGTCTAATAATATGTTTTATTGTGTCATTTGTAATTGACCAGATAACACAGAGTCCAAAGTGCCACACATGAAGGAACCATCTCATATAAGAAGCTCTAGCTCATTAAAAGTGGCTGAAAGACCAAAGGTGTCCTTTGGCCCCTATGCAGAGAAATGTAGACCTGTGCCTGGAAAACAAAAGCAAAAGGACCTCCACAAACTAACCAGACATGCAGCCAAGGGACATTATACCGCTAATCCTGGTAAGGGCTAAATGTTAGTCCTTTTGTCAGAAGTTATATATCCACAAATACAAAATTTTCACTTTCTTGGCAAGTTGTTGAAGGTGTGTTTTCAACATGTTTCCAGATCAAAGTCGCCATCATAGCTCTTCATTTGTTAATATCCGGCCTCCCAGTCCACGTGGTACTGGTTTGAATCTATCTGACCCATCTAACCCCATTTTACATCCTCCAAGACTGACTTACTCCAGCTTCAACAAGACAGGAGAGGGCTCCAGCCTGGCCCAGCATATGGAAAAGAAAAAAAGGGTTAATTCAGTCTTCTTACTATTTCACATACTGAGTCATTATTCATTTATTCTGAAAAGTCATATTTGAGGTTGCCTCTTCTCTCATATCAACTTCCCTCTAATTTCACCTCACAGGGTAGTTATAGGAAACCCCTGGAGATGCTCCTCAACCTCGTAGACAAACACTGGACAGGAGAGAGATCACTGCATCATAACAACAACTTCCTGTGTGAGTTGGAGTTTGGTTTGGGGAATGTGGTATGTCATTACAGTAGCCTGAGATAATGAATGTCTTCTCATCATCTCTATTTTTGGCTCTAGCTCAGGCAGTCCAGATCCTCTCTATGATGGAAAATGATATTTCCAGCCGGGAGGCCGAGGTCAGGTCCTTAAGACGAGAAGCTGATGCACTGAGCTTTCAAGCGGCTGCACAAGAGGAACAGCACAAAACTGAAGTCCGTAACCACTCTGCTCAGCTGGAGGAGGCTCGCAGCGCAGTTGTGAGTGTATTCAGCTCTAGAAAACAAAGTTGAGCTTTAGAAGGCCATAATCATTATGATGAGCACGCTGTGTTTACTGTATTTACTCTACGCAGGGCAAACTAAATGAACAACTGAGGATTGTCTTGGAGGAAAATGTTGCTCTGCAGAAACAGCTCATCAAGTTAGAACGACAGTATCTCAAGTCTATGATGAAAAGTTCACCAATTACTCAGATTAAAGGTGGGTGTAAATACCAGCGGGAGATACAGATGGGTGACAAATTAAAGGAAAAACCAACATGAAGTGACTTAGTATGGAGTCAGGCAACCTCAAGTGTCCAGAACACCTTCAGTGCTTCTTACCAAACCATGCAGTGAGCCCTGGTGCACAGAAGCATCTGTATTTGATATGTTTCTCCACTTTTTTTATTTAGGTTTTTCCTTTTGATTTGCCCCCGTCTGTACATATGAGTGAACATTTTGCTGTTTTTCTTACGAACTGTCACACGTTGCGCTTTCACATCCTTAGAGGCTCAGACAGAAGTGGAGGAGCTGAGAAAAGAGATCGAGGGGTTGAGGGAGAAAGTGCAGGAGGCTGAGAAAGTCAAGGAATTGTCAAATATGCTTCAAGAAAACCACAGGTAAGAAGATCTGGGCCATATTAGTGTTGACATTTTTTGCCCTAACACCTAACTGTATTTGTGTACGTACTGCAGATCCCTGGTCGCTACTAATGAATGTCTGCTAGCTGAGCTGAAGGGAAGTGGGGAACATTAAAGAAGAATTTCAATGAAAAGATGCACACCAGGATGAAAGACTATGCCGAGCGTCATATTAGCATTGCATGCTCTGCATGAGGCAGTTACAGACTGTTTTTTTAATTCATTTTTACTTGATGTTTCCCAACCCTTGTGTGTTTTATTGTGTTAAAGTAGTGTTTATTATTTCAAAAACACATGTATACGCTGTGTTTGCTTGATGTAAACCTTAACGGGGAAAGGCAATTCATTCAAGAAAGTTTGTATATAAGTGTGTGACAGGGCTGTTATGTAAAATAATTCTAAGGGAAAAATGTTAGCGAGAAGGTCATAATGTATATCCCGGATTGGTGGTAAGATTGTCTTTCTCTGTTTGGATATTGTTTTTTTTTTTTTAGGTCACTTGTTCCTTCATCTGCTTTGTACGCTGCAGTGAAATGAATGCATCCAGATTCCAGCTGCACTGTGACTTTATTTATACCTCTGCCTTAGGGCTAGAGAGCCACACACACATGCACTTTCCTCTCACAAACAATAATGCGAGACTTGGTAAACCAGGTTAGAACGTGGATGCTGCTACATCAACTGAATGCAGCTTTAGTTTTTATGTAAATATTACAGGTCACTGGTTGGTTTAACTGCTGTAGAGTTTTACAGTGATCTTGAAAAAGCCGGAAAAGAAAGTAAAACATTATGTTTTGACTGACACCCTTTAACCTACTCAGCAGAGATTCTCTTTTTTTATTTTCAATAAAGCACTACAAATCATGAACACACATTAAGCGGTCTAAAGAACAAGAACAAAAACACCGCATGCAAGTTATTTGGAGAAAAAAAAAAGACATCGTCGTTCCTCCACATTAAAGGTGAACAGTATTTGGCATTAAGCACAGAAAACAGATCATACTTGAGCTACTTCAGCAGACAAAAGCTAACACAATGATAGCTGCTAGTTTTGCACTTGATGCATGATTCTTCATCAGCGGAGGCTACAAGTAGTGCGTGACATGAACACTGTCATTATGATGGAAAAATATTATACAAAATTATTTTGCTTGTTTTGCAATTTTCCCTTTTATCTCATATAGTATGTAAGAATACAACAGTAAAACCCTGCTTTTGTTTTGAGTTGAATTTGTGCCTAGGATGTCGGTACCGCACATAAAAGGTACTCTAAATCTTTACCAACAAATATAATAGCATTGGAGCGTAGCTGACTTTGTATATGTACAGGTTGATACATATTGATTTCAAGCAATACACGATTTTATCATGATCCCACAATTTAAATGTTTGTTAGAAAATAAAATATTTAAGTCTGTCCAGTAGTCTGTCCTCACAGCAGGCACAGCAGTTCAGATAGGATGACTCCTACTGTCATCTATATGCTTCTGAATCAAATGCAATATACATAACATGCACAAAGTACAGCAATACAGGGGAGAAAAAACAACAACATATGAAGCCAGTGTCATAAATTAAGCCATGTGGCTATAACGTTTTAGAATATACACTATCTTACCACAAATGTATAAGAACTACTGTATAGAAATCTGATGAGGAAATATAAGTGAAGTGTTAAAAATACAATCTTGTACAATTGAGCTCATCTACTGTGGATTAGAGCTTCCTCCTTCAGCTGAATTCAACCAATTTAAAATGCATGTTAGCAAAATGGTTTGTGTGTAGGTAAATACAATAGGGTCTGAAAAGAAAATGGGAAACTCCTGTTATATTATTGTTCTGTGTTATAAGCAGGTCCATTTAAAGGTTTACATGGCAGGAGTTATATTTTAACATATTCACAGATGCAAGAGGATATGGCAGAGGTGAAAAAGTGACCTAAATAGTTTTTTTGCAAAACACTTAAAACAAGTTGACAAAACCCTCCATGTATAGTTCTTGGTTTGAGCTGAAGGCAAATTATTCAAATGACAGCGTGGGTTTATGAAGTAAAGAAAAGTAGATTTCATAAACACAGTTGGGGATGGCGGACGAACAATTTAAGTTTTCAAAAGAAATAAACATTGATAATATCTAAGTCAAAAATATGTGTGCCAATTATTGAAACTCAGCAAAACAAATTAAAAATGTATCTCTTCAGCTAAATATGGGAATAGAAAGAATTCCATTAAAAAGTGCAATGTTAATTCATCAAACTGTCCCACTTTGTTTTTCTTGGCATGTTGTTTCAATTGTGCTCAATAAATATTATAAGGCCCTATCATAACAACAAAGCTTCAATATTCATAGCATAGCAGTTTCTCTTGTTTGTTCTCTTCAGTGTTTGGAAGTAACTTGACAGGAATGTACCAGCTGGTGATGACTTCGTAAAAATAGATGTAAACATTTTTTCCAGTTCTCACACTTCACAAAGAGAGGAACTTAAAAACATCTCTCTCTCTCACTCACTCACACACACACACACACACACACACTTACACACACAAAGATAAATGGGTGGGAAAATATATGAAATCCTATTCTTTTGTGCTTTCTTTGAGTACTTTTTTAATAGAAAATTATCCTAGTAGTAGATCAAATGTTTATTTCTCACATGGGTTTGCCCACGGTGGGTTTATTCACTTTCTTTTCGTATGACCCTCGATGTTTGTATCCCGAGACGTATCCGGAAGTGTCAACTATGTCTTCTCTTCCCGCCTTACCCTTCCCACGGCCGGTGGGGTCAAAACGCTCCTTGTGTGACCCTGTAAACTTGGTGGTATCCGTGAGACGGCTCACTGTTGGGGAAGCCACGGCTCTCTGTGAGGAAGTTTTTAAAGCGTCTGAGTTTATTCTGTGATTGCTGGTATGAAATTAGTATTATTCACACTTTGAGTCTTACCGTGACTCCCGCAATGATGGGTGCCTTCCCCTCAATCAGCTTGAAGACCTCAGCCTCGGCCTCCTCTCCAGTCTTATCTTTATACTTCTTCCTGGCCAGCTCTCCGAGAGCAACCTTGAACTCGTCGTACGTGATGTTGCGACAGGATTTCTTCCTGAAATACAGGTGGGAAAGGAGCTTATGCGTCACAGTAGGCCTAGTACATAAACCCCACCCATAAATGATTTGCTCAACTGTGTCTCCAGGGATACAAACGCTTGATTTAGGTTTGCTTTCTCAGTAGGTCTTTTCCACAGCCTCTCAGTAGAGTTTGAAAGACTAAAATGAGAGTGTACTGTAGTGTACACAGCCATGTGTGATCACTTCAACATGGCAGATGTAAGACACAGCATGGGGATGGTATCCCACTGAGATAAACAATGAGAGCACGTTCACTGTTTGGATCTGGTCTCCCAGTGTATCTCAGTTCTTAACTGTCGTCTGAGCAACTCCATATAATTACACGCACACCTGTAGGCTGTATATGTGACTGTCTCTTCATGTCATGTATCACATTGAGTTCAGTTCCGATGTCAGCTTGAAGCATTTATACCTGCTGAATGCAAGTACCTGGAAGGTTATTGTGAATCCCTATGCTCTCATATAAAAGATGAAACTGTTGTAACCACTGACAATACCATACCACAGATCATCATCATCAATCATTCTCCTTCTGAGAGTACTCCAGTTGTTTTAACTGGCCATGTGCCCGTTTCACTTCCATGTTAAAAGTGCATAGTAACACAAACACAAACAGCCACTGCTGTGGTGATAAATCACCTAAACAACAGTCTATAAAGCCTGCAGTCTCCCCGGGCAACATGCTGTCATAGCAACAAGCTACAGTAAACAGGGGTGTTTGGGTTTATTATTAATTTGACTCATCCAGTGACCCGTTTTTGTTTGGGCGAGCCATCAGTGTTGAACATTTGAGCGCTCCATTCCTCTGCGCCTGTTCCATGCTGTCTATTGTCAGAGGGGAAACTGGACTTCCAGTTGCCGTTTCTGTCCAAGGAAGATAACTGTGTGTCCTCTGCGGATCTCCCCATACGGAGCTATTAAATTCTCCAAAGTATACAAATGATTAAGCTGTGTAAATAAACAGCAAGTCAGAATCTGAGGAGGCTGCGATAAGGTTAAAAAGGACAAAGGTCAGAGGGCGAGTGGAACTTCATTTTCATTCTGGATACTGCGGTAGCTGACCTGTTTATTTATATAGTTGAACCATCTGCAAAACAGGATCCCTATGGATCTGACACAGTAGTTGGCTGAATCTGTTTCATGCATGCTCCTGTACCACCTACAATCATGTTCAGTGATGAGGAAATACTGTACAACCTGGAAAATGAAGCCACCATAAAACCACGCTAGTAATTAATTAGTCCACGCTAGATTTCTACCTCGTCCATAGTTTATGCCGTGGTGTTCTGGCTCCTAGCAGGCAGACAGCACAGCAGAGGCTCAATGTGGTGCAGCAGGCATGATAAAGATTCATTCAGCCATACTGTGATTAGCTAGTCCTCATTAAGATGTTTAATTTGTCACGTGCAAGCAAAGAGCTTTGACACTGATTAAAGGAAAAGTGTAATGTGAATCTCAGTCATGCCTGGAGTCAGAAACTACATGAAAATGAGCCCCTCCCCCAGTCTGTACCTCCTTTTATCCTGTGGCTGCATCTGAAGTGTACACACACAACACTCTTTGTACTCTTTCTACTGTACTGTCCTCATGAATACACTGGCGGTGGCATAAGCCAGACAACAGAGCCTACAAATTCACATGCCAGAAACACATCCAAGGACCTAATGTATACAACATTGCACAGATTCACCACAAAAAACATGCTTGTTTCCCTTAAATCCTTAAAGTGGTTACACCATATTGTTTGCACATTTCTTAATATTACTCACCAATGGAGCGGGATGTAAACAAGCTTTAATCCTGCATATAGCTTTAAGTTCCCTCTCTAGTCTTGCCAAGAAACATTTTCACAGCAATAAGCACAAACACCCATTGCCATGCCAACTGTGTTGATGTGGGTGATGCAAAGTCCGGAAAAATAAGAATACTTCTTTTTCATTACTGTAAGAAGTCATGATTGCTATTTTAATATACAATATTCGACATCTTTTGGGGTGTAGAAATGCAACGGACTGGATAATAAAGCATAAAATTATAAAGATGCATAAATAAACCTGGTCAAATATGTAGTCTCTTGTATCTGAAGCCACACGCATGGCCTTTGGTAGGCTTTATTTGAGAACTGAATATAGCCATTTTAGCTAGACAGATTGCACTATACTGTTTGTTTGTAATAGTAGTAGTCAATAAGTCCTACTTTTGTGGAAATACATTTACTCCTGGAGCTGCTTTTTGAAATATTTAATCTCTCCTGAACACAATTTCATTGTAAAGATGGGAATAAACAGTTAAATAACACAGAAAAATAACACTAAAAACCATTTTGGAATCTCCTGTATATAAGTGCGTACACAAAGTGACTAAGATTGAACTATGATTACACACCAGCAGAAGATGGAAAATCCACTAAATCAATATGAGATTCCGAAGCAGACATTTTTCATGGCCTCTCCACTCCTGCAGTAAGACGGGATGACGAGTGGCTTTGAGCCATACTCTTCTATTCTGGTGCTGTCTAGCAGAACAAAATTGACAAAATTCAACCAGGATTTAAAAAAAATCCAAAGCTGCTTTGTGTATGAATGAACATCTCCATAATAACCATGTGCAAAAAAACATACAAATCCACATAGCCCTGTCCTCTCTTACACCAACTGGATTCTTTGCCATTTAGGATACAACTGTACATAACACATCTACAGTACTCTGTTAATGTGTTGTTAGCAGACACTTTAGACTTAGTAAACGTAAGCACAGCTGTATAGGTGAAATGTTTTTTCTTTGGAGAAATAATATTGAGGTCACAACTTATTATTAGACTCTACTTCACTTAAATAAAGCAGTTAAGGATGAATCAATCTGGCCTGAAGAGCTACAGGATGAGCCATCTTGACCTCTTGCTCTGGCTGCTGTTTCTGATGGACAGCCTCAGCTGAGCCGACTCAATGTAAGAAACAAAGGCATCTTCCAAAATACTGCCTGAAAACATGGAATTCAATAACTACAAAATTTGCATGCATTTTCTGTTTGACAACCCTACAATCCAACCTGAGTCAGTTTTCATGGCCCTTGCTGTCAGTACATATCTGTCAACGAGGTTGGTGTGTGTTTTACTTAACTGTTTGCTAAAGATGATGCAATTGGTTCAGTTCTCTGAACATTAATGAAATAGGAAAAAAATCCTTTTTCCAGAGAAAGTTTTCATCTCCACTTCTGTGCTCTTACAACCACAATGCTAACATGTCTGCACAACTTTAATGGGCTTTCAGGCATGCTTATCTGAATGACGGCCTGTAGTCATCTCTTTTGCAGCAGCAGTAAAGTAACATTATGTAGTAAAAGAACACAATCCCGTCACATCTTGGCTGATGTTGGCAGAATAATTAAGGGCAACTAAAACAGACTTTTGGACAGTGTAAATTAAAAGCTCAAACAGGCTATGAAAATACTTTTAGCCTTTAGTGCACAATACATTTGGTGCCTTCCTTACTTGACTTTGCTGAAGACGATGTCCACGTCAGTGAGGGTGACGTTCTTGCCATCAATCACGCCACAGTCCTTGCAGAGCTTGGACCAGTTCTTGCCATGCATCTCTTTGCCGGTAGCACGGGTGTCACCATGGATGGCGAAGCGCCGAAATGACTCTTCCAAAGCGGTCACCTCCACTGGTGTGGACGAGCCCATACCTCCTTCACTGGTCCCATTTGACTCAGATGAAAGCCTTTTGGACGCCCGGTCTTTAGACTGTTCACTGTGCGGCCGTAAAGGGACTGAGCCCATATTAGGATGCTTGGCTGTCTGGACTTTAAAGTCATCTATGTTGTCTCTGAAAGGGGAAAAATACAACATCATCTGATAATCCATGTTATGTCTGAGTTATACATGACAGTTTTCAATGGAGGTAATACAAAAATATTGTGCATGCACTGAAGCCACTGAAACCACACAACTGAATATTCAAAATACAAAAATAATACAAGTGAATTGAGAGGAAAAGTCATTGGGACATATAATATTACAACATCAAATAATTCCAATATATATCAAATAGAAAAAGATATTTATTCACAACCTGTACACCACAGAGGAGGAGGATTTTTGGCAGAAATACATCTGATCTAACCCTGTTCTGCAAGACTTGCAACGAACAAACAATGCCTCATACCATAAGGTCAGGTTGCAGCTTGCTAATGTGTCTATGGGCTGTCCCTTTTTGTACGGTACTTCTATGTTACAGGACAGATTACACTCTCCAGAGGCCAGGGGTGCTCACACTGCCTGTGAATGGGCAGATGTCTTACGTGTTCTGGCACAGAGGTGAAGGATATAAATAGACCTCTGTGGAATTCAAAGGCACACAAATCAAGAAGACAGAGCCGATGGATATGTGGACTAAAACACACAAAATGTGAAGTGAGGGCTCATAAACCTCAGATGACTTCTGAAACTTACTTCTGGTCTGCCATGCTTGTGCTGGAATTTGGTTCCTTCTGTGCAGTGCTTGGATTAGCTGACTTTTGTTTTCTTTTTGTGCTGTGGAAAAGATAAGAACGGAGGTGAACACTGTGAGAGGATGTGCCTGTACATATGTGAGTGCCCGAGAGTGGAAGGCTTGATAAAGAAAAGAATAAAAAGGAAGCATTTAATGTAGCATCACTACAAAACGTACAATATTCTAGTCTTGTCTTCATCTTTCTTTAATCATGCTCCAATAAAAACATATTTATGACATAATGTCTAATCCAGTCTGACACACATTCACAGATCTACATTTAAGGAAAACCCTTCAGTATGACATGAATAATAACCAAAACTTCAAAAGGAACAAGATCAAAATCCTTTTCATCATCATTAACACCAAATTCCTTCCAGATAACGTCTGTCTGTTAGTTTTTGTTTATTGTGACACATCTTTAAAGGTCAGATTGCATGATGAGCAAACAACCTCACTTCTCTCTCTTAATAAGATGATTTCATTCAGGGATCCCTCTCTAAACATATCATCATCCTGATTTGCATCAGTACACAGCAGCAGCATTTCACATTCTCAACTCAGCGTCACACTTGAACGACATCTGAAATGCAGAAAAACCTAATTACTATCATGCAAAATACCCCCCTCTGCTATTTCTATTAAGTTAATTATAACGTAACCTAACTGTATTTGTAGTAAGTGACGATGCTCTGCTCACCTTTCAGCTGTTCCCATACTTAGCTCAGCATCCTTAAAGGACGTGTGTTGCCATGGCAAAGTACACCCCAACAAAGTTTCTAAAACAATTTTGCCAGTAGTTACACTTGCTACAGTTTAAACAGATACAAACAAGATGCAAACCGGAGAGAGATGCCGTGTCCCATGGACTAAACCGTCTGATCCAGCTAGCAAAGTTTCAAGCAAGTCCCTCAAGTCGCTAATAAAGTGCTTTCACTCACCCCCAAGTGGCACCATGTGAAGCCAAGGGTTATGTTTCCACAACCCTGTGGCCAACAATTACAAATGTGACCTTGCTAAGTACAGTCAACACTTAAATGGGTACAAAAGTGCCAAGATTGACACTGCATAAAGCCATTATAATTCATTCTTAGGGGGGAAAAAGAAGAGATTATTAATGATGAATAATGGCTTTCAGAGCACCAGACACTGGGAACCCATTGTCTAATACTCGTGGCTTCTCTGTCTGACCCATGCCCATGTCTTCACACATACACACATGGTGACATCGCAGAGTACCACTATTGATGGCAAGGTTTTTGTAGTCATATGTCATCGAGGACTCAGGCCAAGACAATCCAGATAGAGTTACTGCAGTTGTTGAAGCCTTGATCTTTTATTTCTCAACCATACATACCAATGAAGTACACACGTACAATATATTTAGACTAATAACTCACAAATCCTCAGTATTGTACTGTAAAGGAAAAAAGAAATTTTAAATGATACTACACAGCCCTTATAACCGTGCCATAGTTGGGAATAGGACTGGGTTAAAAAAAAAAATCGATCTCCAGATTACAATTTTCATTTTAATGATCCAATAAAATCATATGATCGATCTTTGATTTCTTATTGAATATGCGTCCATTTGCACTAAATGTTATGAGCATGCTGTGTGTTATAAATGGTACAGTTTAATATTCTTTGGTTGCCTGTTTTGGTCCACAATTTTGTAACAGTGGAATATATTTACAAATTAACCTATACTGGGATATTATTATATATCAATGCTTGGAAAATGTGTTTTTTTACTTCTTCATGGAACTAGTAGAATCACATCCAGGGCAGCAACTTATTATTTTTAAACAGTGATTAATCTGTTGATTTATTTTATTTGCTTGAACATTTAGTCTGTAAAATGTCAGAAAATAGTGAAAAATGTCCACCCAGGTTTATCAGGTGACATTTTCAATTTACAATCAACGACCAAACGACAAGGCAAAAGAGATTCAATTTACAAAAGATATTCATTTTAAGATCATATAAAACAGACAAGCAGCAAATTAATTACATTTGAGGAGCTGGAACCACAGAATTTTGGGCATTTTTGCTTGATGAAAAGACTTTAACGATAAATTCATTTTCAAGACTATTGGCAAATAATTTTGTGAAAAGTGTTTCAGCTCTAAAGTTTTTGTTTGTGATTGACTCATTTATGATCAATAGGATTTCACTGTAATGCCAAGGATGGAAAGCATATGTTATTACAATTAATAACCTGTGTTTCATGTGTGTAGGTTTTGATGTTCTCCGGTTCAGTAGCTTCATCATTATCGGCTTTACTTTCAGTGGGGATCCACATCCTTTCAAATGGATTAGCCACTTGCTCTGTGTTTCCCTTTGTGCTTCAACAACAGCAGTAAAATCTATGTGAAACAAAGGAATCTTTTCACTCTCCTCCTTCAATTTATAGTCAGTAGTTTCAAGTGCATGAGTCCTCTCAGTACAACAAGCCCCCTCAAACCACATCATGTTCAATACATGAGAGAGAGGTCATTAACACTGCAGTCCAGTGGCCTGAACACATACTCAGATGAAAGGAAATCTAGTGCTCTGACAGCTTTTTTTGATTGTATCATTATTGACTGTGTATCCTGTATAGAGGAGAGACTATTTGGTACAGTAAAGCTTTACCTCAACGAGAGGCTGTTTCTGGTAGGGCTGCACAATTAATTGAAATATTATCCACATCGCAATGTCCAAATCGCTGGAGCTACAATTTTTTGATAAAGGAAAAATGTGTCACAACATACCATTATAAATGAAGCACTGTGTTGCTACAGAGATGCCCTGGGCCTGCAAATAATATTCTCCTGATGTAAGTGAACATGCCTGTTTGGTACAGACCCCAGCAAAAATCACATCATCATCATTTTCATATTTTTTCAGTGAAAATGAAATACAAAAATGATCATTCCCACTAAAATTGTGACTCATATAGCAATGGCAATATCTGTCAAATAATTACAATGTGATTTTTTTGCCTGTGGTTCAGCCATAGTTTTGTCTGTATCTTTTATTCTGCCCCACTTTGCCACATTCACAACGAGAAGCCATTTGGTTAAGGGCAGATCTCCAGAGACAAATCTGTGACTGGATGACAGCATGCTTACATACACTCGCCTTCTGGCAATACACTGCACAGATGAGTGCTTTAACTATAAATTGACCTATTTTGAACTGCAACTATTCATAGCAACAATACGCTGCCATGGCTGGAACATTCTATTCATTCTCGAGGGAAGAGATCAGCCAGTAGAGAACATGCAGGCTGAAATACCAAAAAATTAAAAAATCTGTGTTTAACTCTTTGGCAGATGGTGTTTAACTCACAAAATTATGACACTCTTGCCAGAGTGATGTGACGTGCATGTGTGTGTGTGTGTGTGTGTGTGTGTAGCCTGCTCCTCCATCATGCCATCGTGGTGAGTGGGCATGCAGTGATTCAATCTGCTTTATATCTAGATCAGTGAGCTTTACAGGCTGCTGCTGTGGACGTGAGAATGTTACTCGATTAAAGCGTAAAATAGAGACGGTCATGACCACCCTAAAGCCCCCACACTGACTTTTGCTCAGACAAAATAAGGAATATGGTGACCTCACCTTGGTCTCAAGGAAATAGGGACATTCTTTGTTTTGTTTTTTTACTCTTTGAGCTGTGGTGGGCACTGGGTGGCTAAATGTTTTATAGACCAAACAACTGATCAAATAATAGAAAAAATAACCTGGCTATTAATGATAATTAAAGGAATTGTTAGTTGCAGCCCTAATGAACTACACTGTTGGCACTGGGTAATATATTCTTTCATTACAATGAACATGGGCATTGTAGTTAAGCCCACATACTCCGTTTTGGTGGGGTTCATGGTTCATGGTTTAAAACGTATATGATGTAATCTGACACAACCCTGGTTTCGATTCCAGGGATTCCTCTCTCTCGCTCTTATTCTCTCTCTGTCTCTCTCCATGTTTCCTCTCTGCATCTCCACTGTAAATCATCTAGTAAAGGCAAAAAAATACTCTTTAGTGCACCAATGGTGTATTACTCCACGACTGTTAATAGAGTGCCACAGACAGCATGCAGGAAACAGCGTGCGTTGTTGGTTTTGGTCTATTCATGGAAGTTGTTGATAATAACAAAAATATAGAAGCCCTTTTCTTCAACATTGTTTCAGGGCTGCACCACCTTACACCACAAAATACAACCTCTTAACCATTTCCCAGTTTGACCACAGTCCTCCACCATCACGCCCCCCCCCCCTCGAAGGCACAAGGAAAGAAGGCATGACATCAGTATGCTGGAGCCGAGGTCTGAGGTCACCACCACGCTGTCTCTGTCAGTCCTCGCCTCCCTAAACCCTTTAACTGCTCTGTGAGTCAAAGAACTTGGCAAGCATTGTGCAGTAGAAAAACAAGATGTTAGAAACAAGCTACAGTGGTTATAGCTGGCAGCAGCAGCAAGCCAAATAGAGGTATGAGGCAGAGTAAAGAAAGCCCGGGGGTCCTTATGCAACCCCACATTTGAGAGGAATATGTGATGCCAGAGACAGCAGAAGTGTCCCTGACATGGTTCAGAGGGAGAGAGGCCTGTTTGAGCCAGCAGCAATTTAGCTCTGAGTACAATCTGGTTAAAGATTTTAGAAGCCAGACTGTGCTATATAATGTTGCACCTAATTAATTAAGCTAACAAATTTTAAAGTCTTTGTAATGTCATGGAAAAGCTGTCTAATGTCTTTATCTAGCAGCCACAAATGCTGAAAAATGAAACACACAATGACAACTGTTCCCTAATGTTAAGGTCAACGCGAATAAATGTCTTACTACTGTGTACTAAAGACAATGCTGTCGGTCTACAACACCTTATTTTGCCCAAAAGCAATCCCTTTATTTTGTAACCCTGACCTGAATTTGAGTCATCACAAACATGGTTAATTTACACTCTGAGGTTAATTGTTTGTGACAGACCACGAAGGCTCTTGGAACCAGTGCAATGAAACCTAGAACAGTGAAATCTGGGATAAATTCACTGACTGTGTCTTCTTCTCATGCATCCATAATTCAACCTATGGGGAGAACATGGCTACAGAACCATTCACTGAGAAGAAGTAAACACATTACCTTCCTTAGGTGTAGCCTACTGTCTTTGAATGACACTTCTCACAAAATAAAGCATTGATAACTTCTTTTCTACTGGTATCACCAGTGTCCAAGCTGAATCTAATTCATTGCTGAACATTTTTAATTTTCTTTCAAGCTATCAATTAAACGCAGTACAACAGCAATTACATATTACACAATATTAATTTTAATTGCCTCCTATTTCCTATCTTTAAGAGCCAAATTCACAGAGAATCAGGAAGCTAATAAAAGAGGGTATTAATCTTTTTTCATGCATAATTATGTAACTACCTACATGCAACCCAACAGCTTGGCATAAGGCTGCAGCCACAGGGCAAACGCATTGTCAATCATTCTTTCTAACCAATAATGATGCTTATTGAAGAACCTTTTCCTGGCTCCCGTCGAAAGATAAACAGAGGAGAAAAAGCTCATGTTTATGTTACAGGAGATGGCTGCAGCTGCTGGTTGCACCGGTGTGTCTGAGGGAAACATGTTACATAAACTTGCAAATGCCAGTTTCACACAGAGGCCACGTGATCAGTATGTTGTCAGCCCCTAATGCATGTCTGCAAATGCAGAACATGGCAATATCGGTAAAACAAATAATTTAAAAAATCATAATATTTTTACTCTTCGGTAAAATAGACTATGCTGCCACACGTTATTACAGCTCAAAGGGCATCTTATATTGCAATTTCAGTATCGAGGAAGCTTGCAGAGACATGAAAACTAAACAAAAAGCACACCCAGGAATCAGATGAATTTGTGGGGGATGGCATCGAATTCTTCCTTTTTCATATTGTGAAAACATGCAGGTCTACCACGAGCCAGCACAAGCTACAAGTCGCTTCAGCTTATAAAGTGATAATGTCAAATTTAGTTTTAATCACCTGGTGATGTGATCCTCCACCTTTTTAGTCAAGTTCACAAAACCATAATTGCGCGTCGCGAGTCTTGAAGTGTTTTTCCTCCCCGCTGCCTGAGTTCAAGTCTGCCCAGTGGCTCAGTCTCACCGAGATGCTGAAGAGAAACCAGGCCGCTGATTGGCTGCCGCGGTGTGCGACGAGTTGTTTTCCTCTTGCCTCGCTGTTGTGGGCTTTGATGGTGCTACAGTGCTCAGTGGAGCGCTGATAACCAAGCAGTTTGAGCACGGAGCATCTTTTTGGGGGGGCGGAGATGGAAGATGTAAACAAAAAACGTGGATGGTTTTATTTGGGGATCAGTACAGTTTCATTACGTCCATGTGTGTCATCATGTGCCATATAAAAATAATGCATCTGAGAGGTATGGTCACTTACAATAGCAATAATCCTGGCTCTTGTCCAAGCAGGGGAGGGCTTGATGGTGGGTTGGACTGTTGGTGGCCAAGGGAATTGAGTCTAGGGACTACACTTTATATCATGATGAAAAATTCCCTGTTGGCAAAACAAATCAAATACATCCTCTCAAAAAGGATGCTTACATTCCCAAAACTGCCCACTGAACCTTACACATCTGATGTCAAGCACACTAATGTGTTACACAACCAATAGTAGCCTAATGGCTGTACAGTGATGGATATTATGTAATCCATAGCCTTGCTGATAGTTTAAATACAATTCAAAGACAGGGGCAAGTGGTAAAAACACGCATGCTTATGAGGAACATAAAGGGATCAGAACAGTGAGTTCAGCATGATGAAAGCGGCTTGAACTGAGGGTAAACACTTGGTGACATAATAGTGTATCTCAAGCTGCTTCAATTGCGCCGCCGTGTGGTTACTAGCTCCCTTTACTATCAAATAGAGCTATGTTGCCAAAACCAAACACCATAGCCTACGTTAAAGGAACCTGATGGCTTAATCTTGAATTTTTACTAAACGTCCAGTGGACCAAACGACTTTCCATGTTGTTTCATGTTGTTCCATCATCTATATTTCTCCTGATATGAGAAATATACTGTTGGTGTGAGATCATGAGGCTCACTTTAATGAAGCAAATGTCATGAATAGAGAGCTGCATATCTTTCTTCGGAATTACCCCTTTCAGGGAAAATAATAGAAGAAACTACAACAACAGAAGGGCAAAGCATTAATGTGTACAAACACCTTGTTTAGTTGTGTAATTACATCATGGATTAATGGCCTCATTGTATCATGTTTCATAGGACATACGGTAGCAAACAATAAAAAGATGGAAAAAACAATGTAATTTACATACAGGGATTGACAAGGAGTGAAAATTGCTCTGGACTTTTGGCGCAGTGCTGACCACAAACCAGTTGTGGAAAGTATTTAGTACTGTACTTAATTACAAATTTGAGGTACTTTGAATATTTTCATCTCATGCCACTGTCTACTTCTACTCCACTTCATTTCAAAGGGAAATATTGTACTTTTTAACAGTTTTAGTTACCTTACAAATTAAGGTTTTTGCATACAAAAAATGTGAAAAAAGTACAAGCATAGCTAAAATGATTAATGGACTGACAGAAAATGAATTGACAACTACTTTGATAATTCTTTCAGTCATATCATACAAAACATTTCATGGTTCCAGTTTCTCAAATTAGCTGCTCCAATCCCTATGTCAAATTCCAGAATAAAATAGATGCATAAATGTACTTATTTTTAAATGCAATACCAGCAAGGTGGATCACAAATGACATGAAGTCCTTTATGGAGCATACAGAGGCCTGCTTGGATTACTCACGAAGGAGAACATATTGTTCTTGAGAGAAAGCTGGCTTGAATCTTACAAATGTCACTGGCAGCAACCATCTAAGGGGTCTGTAAAAACAAACAAAAAATAATAATTTGACAGTGGTAAGTTTGAGTAGACATGTGACAGAATAGAAAAAAATAAATACACATTGTATATCCTACCTCACAGTTTAAGCCACAGCTCAGCTCTCTCAGCTATGCAACCAATAATCAGGCCATCAAAACAACGTCCTGTGCAGTAGCCTAGAAGCCTCCAGGTGCTGTTGAGTTAAGGTACTGCAGAGCTTAATCTTGATTCATTCAAGAGAAGAGACACTCCTTTCACAAGCTGGTAAACAAGCTGTGGTGGCAACAAAGGCAGTAACACAGTGGAAGATGAGCTATAATTGTGCACCACCATCTTTATTTTCTTCAGACTATCCTTCAAATTCTGATCTTATAAATCTACACTGCCCAATATAACACTTGTGATCTTGCCCACTTAATTTGGCCATGGCCATAATATTGCTCTATTGCCATATTGCTTGTTTATATGTTATGCATGCTTCAGGCACGCTCTTCTTCTATGCCATTTTCTGTGGCAGAATGAAATCTACCTCCATTTTTCTTATCCCTTTCTTGTAGGCCTACTGAATAGGTCTGCTATGCCTAATAATTTGTTGTGGTTCCCCTGTAGACACCTGGATATCCATTTTATTTAACTGAAAATATGTTTTTAGGTGAGAAATAGTTTGAACTACGTCAACCCTTCCCTAAATGTAGCCTCTTGCACTGATTGCATTGAGTGGTTTTTCCATCTTGCATGAAATACATCAACACACAGGGCCTTGTGTGGATTTCCATCTACAAAGACCCTCTTCAGTGCTTTATCTTTAGCCCAGCACAATTGCACATTGTTGATGACACATGCCTTGTGTGTGGCCACCAATGTGCACCTGAGCAAGACACTTAACCCCTAGTTGCTCCATGAGCGTGCAACCTCTGATATAAACAGCAATTTTAAGTTGCTTTGGATAAAAGCATCAGCTAAATGAGTAAATGTAAATGTAATACTTGTAGAAGCTTGAGGTGGTGTGACTCAATAGTGCCACTATGTGGCCAAGCAGGGTAAAGAAGAAAACATCAACAGTTAAAACAGCAATAGAGAGCTGAGGTGCTGTCTCCTTTTGAAGCTATTATCTGGTCCAGTACTTCAAAGATGCTCAGATGTTACTGTCAGTACTGTGCTGGATACCCAATTGGCTTAGAATATGAGCAGTAAACACTCATCATGTTTCAGCTTTTCAGAAAGATGCCAATATCTATCTGTCTATCTATATCTGTCCGTCCGCCCTTCCTTCCATCCATCCATAGTAAAACAGAGGCTAACCTGAAAGTGGGGTTGGACTTTGACTCTTTATACAAGCCAGTTTGATAAAACAATGCTTTACATAATTCAACCGTTGTCATAAAAACACATAGTGTAGATAAAAAGGAACATGGTGACAGGAAAAAAACTGTTCTATGATTTGTTTCAAACTGTGTGTCAAGTCCAAAACATCCTTTGTTCTCATCAACAATGATCCATGGTTGAGTAACTCAGTTTTATGAAGCATATATTCATAACAAATAGTTCCTCAGAGCAGCATATTCTGATTAACTACCATGTAGACATCAAATGTTAAGTATCATCTGCGATCCTAGCTGAGCCGCACAGAGGGTCGGGCACTCCAGGAACACAGTCACCAGACTTCAAACTGCCGCTTTGAGCCTCATCATCTGTGGCAGGCTTCCGACTTTTGATGTCGCTCATAGATATTTCCCCTTTCAGACAGGAAACAAGAAGAGATAAGTATTCTACAAAATGCATGGTCAAGGGTGGTGTTGTATTTATTGTATTATATCATTTCTAATACTTTTGCTACTTCTGTAAATGGAGGTCGACAAAAAAGAAAGGTGAAAAATAGTGATAAGTGCAGTCAAATACTTACTTGCCGTGTTCTCTGTAAGATTTTCTGTGCCATAATGGAAGCTGTTCTCATTTTCTGCTGATTTCTTGAAGTTTTTCAACTAGACCAAAAGAGATTTTAATGCAATATGTTGATGCATGTAAAATCAATTAAAGGAGATATCAGTAGACATGCTTACCTCAGTGCAAATGGACTCTGAGAGTCGGCTGGTGAGCGGGCATTTATTGTCAAATTTGCAGATGCTGCAGGAAAATCACAGAGGTATTAATTATCATTATCTACACAATTTGTTTTATTAATAGTATAACAAGAAGTGTAAGGAATTAGTTTTACCTTGAACTCTGTGATAATGCTGGCTCACAGTCAACTGAGCTCTCTTTATTCTTTTAAAGAGGAAAAAAAGGTATTTTACACATGACAGAATGAACAAGTGAACGACAATGAGAGGCGGAGACAGGTCTCACCTGTGGGGCCTTGCCATTGAGTTTCACATCATGTGGAGTGTCTCGGATCCTGGAGTCTTTTTGGCGCTGGATTTTGACATAATCAAAAGTGCTTATGCCTTTATAAACTGCAAAACCAAGAGGAGAACAAACACCAGTGGTGAAAGTGGTGAGCATTAACGACTGGCTGAGGCGGAAAGAGTCCTATCAAATGTCTGTCTTGGAGATTGTGACTCACTGAGGTACAAGTGAAAAATCAGCAGATGACCGAGCAGCAGCAGGCAGGTGACGCTCAGTACGGCTGTAACGAAGGCTACTGTAAGGAGACCAGCTGAACTAGTCTTTATGGGAGCTGAGGGTAAAAATATCAGCCAGGTGTCATTCGCTAGCATACCTTTAGAAAGACAGAACAAAAAGGAGGACAACACACATACAGCTTTTAATGATGCAATAAACATAAATATCACCAAAGCTGTTTTGCTTTCTATTGAGTCAGATAAAGATCAATATAATGTTGACTCACTGTCGAACTGTGGGGAGGTCCGGAGACTGTTCCGATCCAGGTAATGCTGAATAAATATGAACAAGATGACGGCAACAAGCAGGAAGACACCTAGTGTAGCAGAGGACAGTGCCACAAAGAAGCACCTGAAGGCAACAGACCAAACCTGATGTTAATTTATATTTATGTTTCACATTTTATTTGACCATGAAGTCAGATACAGAGAGTACACTAACTCATCCACAACTTACCAATAGTTTCTACCACCCACGCAGGTATTCAGCCATTTGCAATGGTGATCAAAGTCTTCCACACACTTGTTGCAAACACCACAGTGTTTAACTTTGGGGCCTCTACATGAAGATTGATTATGTTAACATCTTTAAACACAACTTTTCCATGATTGCCAAATGGTATTTTGATAATACTTTACAATATGGTACACAGAACTGTGAGTAGTTACCAAAGTTATCTGATAATTAATACACTCACCTAAAGGATTATTAGGAACACCTGTTCAGTTTCTCATTAATGAAATTATCTAATCAACCAATCACAAGGCAGTTGCTTCAATGCATTTAGGGGTGTGGTCCTGATCAAGACAATCTCCTGAACTCCAAACTGAATGTCAGAATGGGAAAGA